CATTCTCTGGTTCATATATGTGTGTGTGGAATATATATCGTCTGTTTTTCTTTGTGTCTGTGTAGATCACGCGCCGGTATGCTGAATTCTCCTCTGCTATTGTCAGCATAAACCAAACCTTTCCCAACGAGAGGACCCATACTCTTCTGGGACAGCTGCAGGTGAGAACGGAAACACCTCTGTGTCCTCCAGGTGTAGAGCGGCTTACGCTGAAAGCTGTCGTGATCTGGTTTCAGGTGGAGGTGGAGAACTTCGTGCTGAAGATGGCGGCTGAGTTTCCCTCTAGACAAGACCAGCTCATCTTCCTCATCAACAACTACGACATGATGCTCGGCGTGCTCATGGTGACGCTCCTCACGAGACACGCCGCTAACCACTAAGACTCTGTTGGGTATCGGACTGCATCATGATGGTGTGTGTGTGTGTGTGTGTGTGTGTGTGTGTGTTCTGCAGGAGAGAGCCGCTGACGACAGTAAAGAGGTGGAGGGCTTCCAGCAGCTCCTGCTCGCCAGAACACAGGTACGATCTGAGATCCTGAGCACCAGCTCACAGCGGCGTCGCATGTAATGTGAGTAACCGTGTGTGTGTGTGTGTGTGGAACAGGAGTTTATAGAGGAGATACTTTCACCTGCGTTCGGAGGGATGATTGCATTTGTGAAGGAGAGCGAGGCACTAATGGAGAAAGGGCAACTTGACAAACTCAGAAACGATGAAGGTGAGTGCTGGAGCTGCTCTGTTTTCTACGGTGGCCGAGAGTGCTAAACAAATCACAATTCTGAAAACAAAATAACAAATTACAAACGCAAATGCAAGTCTAAAAAACAAAATAACAATTCAGAAAGCACAACAACAATTCAGAAAACATTATAACAAGTCAGAAAACACAACGACAAATCCGAAAACAAATGAACAAGTCAGAAAACAGAACGAAAAATCAGACAAACCGGAAGAGGTAGGTATAGTTTGAGATGGCGCCATTGGTTTGGGATTACTCACCACTGACTGGACGAGACATCTGTCAATCAACATATACAGGAAGAACCAGCCGAAGAACAGCAGAGTCGTGGTAGAAAGTTCGGAGATGGTATTAAAGTAGCTCAGTTTAAATGTATTGTATGAATTGCCCTTACTATGGAATGAAAAATACGGAGTGTATATTTACATTTAGTTAAAAGTGGCTGTAACACATCAGCTCCAGTGGCGCAGATGGTTAAGTGTGTGTTGTTGGCTTTTTGACGCGATCGACCCGGGGTCCGATTCCGCCTTTTGCCGAACTTTTTTTTTCTCCCTTTTCAAATGTCTTATCACATCGTAAAGGCATTTATTTTTAAAATAAAAATTAAGGAAATAATCAAAAAGTTTAAAATAAAGTATGGGGTAGAGTTAGGGTAGGTGTAGGGAGGGCTTTATTGTACCAAATGGCGCCGTCTCAAACTATACCTACCTCTTCCGGTCTGTCTGATTTGTTATTTTGTTTTTTAAACTTGCATTTGCGTTTGTAATTTGTTATTTTGTTTTCAGAATTGTGATTTGTTTAGCACTTCTCGGCCACCGTAGTTTTCTCTGTTGAGGTTTGTCATACTGCTGTATCCTTATGTCTTTAACTGAGTGATGCATTAAAAAAATTAAAATAAAATTGTATATATATATATATATATATATATATATATGTCATTTTTATTTCTTTTTTGAAAATTCACGGACTAGTCGTCTTTTACTCACCATCATGTCGTTCCAAACCTGATAGCACAAGCATTTTAACATAAAAATACATCCTTCAGCTTTAACTTCTGAGCAAATAAATATGTTCATATAAAACAAAAGCTATTCTAAATATTCTATTTTGTTTTTACTATATTACAAATATTTCAATTATTGTATTTGACAAATCCAGATCTTTTTAGTATGAGTTGTAGTGTTTTGTAGTTTAGCTGGTTGTATTTTTTATTTATTATTTTTTTCTGTTCAAATGCTGTTTAATGTTGTCATCCTAATGGAGATGGATGAAATCATCTCATTATTACAGTTACAGTAAAGTAGCTTCACCATCTTTAGCTGGGATGAATTAAAATGTTAAAAATGACAGTAAACACTTATAAATTCACCAAAGATTTGTGTCAAATAAATGCTGTTCTTTCTGTTCATCATGAAAAAATCCCCACACTTCATTAAGCAGCACAGCTATTATCAACTCTTTCTTGAGCAGCAAACCAACATTTTAGAATGATTTGTACATCAATATTGGATGAATGGCCTCTAAAAATTCAGCTTTGATCACAAAAAAAGCCATTCTTTTTCATTGTAACAATATTTCACAATATTAGAGCCTTTGCTGTATTTTTGATCAAATCAATGCAGCCCTGGTGAGCAGAAAACTGAAAAAGCCTTATAGTGAGCCCAAACTTCTGAGTCCTGTCAGTGTTTCCCAGCAGCAAAGACAGAGGGCTGGTGATTTAACACTCGTCTGCGTGTGTATGTGTGTGTGTAGCTCGTATCACGCAGCTGGTGCGGGGTTTCTCCAGCACGTGGAAGCAGTCTGTGGAGGCCTTGAGTCAAGATGTCATGCGCTCCTTCACCAACTTCAAGAACGGAACCAGCATCATTCAGGTGCAACCTGGTGCAATAATGACGTTCTTTCTTTCATAGCTCATAAATGTGCTGTCAGACTGACGAGTTGCTGTCTGGTTGTGTTCTCTAGGGAGCGTTGACCCAGCTCATCCAGTACTATCATGGTTTCCATAAGGTCCTCTCCCAGCCAGCGTTTCGCAGTCTGGCAGTGCGCTCCGAGCTCATAAACCTCCATCATCTGATGGTGGAAGTCAAGAAGCACAAACCAAACTTCTGATCTCGCACATGAATCCTCAGCATTTGCGGTAGCTACACTGCAGAAATCCTTCTTTGGGAGGACCTGAGAATCAGTGTACACATTCATAAAACATGATACATTTCCCTGATAAGCAAAACTAGGTAAAAAAGTAAAGTCATTGAAGTCTGTACTCGGCTGGGGTTATCATTTGTCTGGTGTCACTGGCAGATTTTTTGATTTGTATTTTGAATAACAGTGTAAACGATCTTACAGTCTTTAACAGTTTCCTTAACAGGTGAAAGTAACTTGTCTTAAAGGGGTTTTTTTCGGTCAGTCTTTTGTTTCTAAATTGGCCACTTTGTGTTGTTTTTTCATTAGCGGCATTTGAAATTTCTTCTTTAATATGATTTGATTTCTTTCCATGTTTAATCTGTATATTCGGTGGCAGCTTCTCTACATGTTTTTGTGTATGAACTGGTGTTTTTTTGTTTTTCTCGTCTCTGAAAGTATGTGGGCACTGATGTCATATTAAAGTTATAACAAAGAAGCATTTCATGTCTCAAAATAAAAGATATCAGATTGAAAGTCTCTGAAATGTTCCCATCATGTTGTCAGTCCGTTAAAGCAAAAGAGGAACTTTTGCTAAGATCATTTATTTACAATGATTGATATGACTGAATTTACGTCATTACTTTTTACAAGGCAGTAAGTCAATGAACTAGAAGTAATGAACTTTTTTTAATTCACAGACAATTAAGTTGTCATAAGCTACATTTTAAGAATACATTCAAACAGGCTTGTACAAACTTGTATTTAGCTGTGGAACCTAACCACTTATTGCTCATTTATGGAGTCTAATCATTCAGGAGTCTTGATGTTGACCATTTTTACAAAGTAATTATAGAGTGTGTTTGCCTATTATTTTATCTGAAGGCCATGCGGCCTAAAAGAGCCCTTGGTATCAGTGTGAACGCGAGCTCAGCGAAAATACAGTGTTCAGTCACAGAGGCCTAAAATCATATCTTCATTCAGTCTATTCTGCAAACATAATTTGAAGGTGCAATGTGTAATATTTACAACGATCTATTGACAGAAAACTATGTTTTCAGATGTGTATAAAGACCTTACTTAACCGTTATGTTTTTATCACCTTAGATTGAGCAATTTCTATCTACATACACCGCGGGTCCCCTTACATGAAAGTCGCCGCCATGTTTCTACAGTAGCCCTAAACAGACAAACTGCTGTACACAGCGCGTTTCGTCACTGTTGTTCTTGCCAATAAAACACTGACACAATGATGAACAAGTACATTAACATTCGCAATAACATCGATTTATTGAATGATTAAGTAAATATAATTCCTTAATTTACCTTTGTAAAGAAATCTCATTGCTCTCTGCTGTCTTTACCGACAACATCTTTACCTGTGTAGGCCACCGTAGCTTCTCTAAAGTGAGGGACGGGTGAGCGGGGGATTGAGCCGTTGGTTGCAGTTCGCAACCTCACCACTAGATGCTCAAATTTACACACTGCACCTTTAAATGTCTGATAATAAAATACCATCAACTCCGACAGTTTACATACTTTGGTTTTATTAAGTAAACTCACACATACAAGCTTGCAACACTGCTTGACCAATCTACTTAATAGATCAAAACTAACTGTTGTACAGTGGAAATTTTATTGAAATTAATGTTGCATGCACCAATCTAAAATTACAGTTTAACGTTGTAAAATTCACCCAAGGAGAAATTGTTTACAAATTACTTTACAGAACTTAGTTGTACTTTCTTAACCACTAAATACAATATTAGTATTAAAGGGGTCATATGACGCTGCTAAAAAGAACATTATTTTGTGTATTTGATGTAATGAAATATGTTTATGTGGTTTAAGGTTAAAAAACACATTATTTTCCACATACTGTACATTATTGTTTCTCCTCTATGCCCCGCCTTTCTGAAACGCGTAGATTTTTACAAAGCTCATCGGTCTGAAAAGCGAGGTGTGCTGTGATTGGCCAGCTATCCAGTGTGTTGTGATTGGCCGAATACCTCAAGTGTCAGACGGAAATGTTACGCCCCTCACCATACTGTGATGCCCTGTCCGGCCGGAGCGACGAGACAAAAACATTAAAACCCATTACAAACGAGGCATTTGTTGCATCCAGTGGGGACATAATTACTGATTATAATGACACACTCCTATTTCAAGCTTTATGCTTTATTCCCACCCTTTATACGTCGTAATTCTGTGTTTCTGATGGAGTTGAGAGATCACTTCGCCCTCAGAGCCTCCATCATGAGGGCCTCCATTAGAGTCACTGCTAAAATCGTCAAAGTAATGATGCCAAACTCCATCTTTTGTAGGTCCAAACCCAAACACGCTGACCTACGAGAGAGGAATCCTTACATTAAACAAAGCCTTACATTAATACAGTCTATTAATTGTCATGAATTAATCTTTATTTGACCCTCTAACTCTAGCACCTTTTAGACTTGCACTTTATTCATTTACTAACTGCTTGTTTTCTTTAAAAAAAAAATACTAGCTTCTCTAATCTTTTTGTATTCTATCTATTTGTTTTCTTTTTATTTATTATACAGTTAACAAAAGCAAAAAAGGTATCAAACACTAGCTTTGCTCTATTCTTTTTCTATTCTATCTGTTTCCTTTTTATTTATTATATAATTAAGAAAAACCCTTACTACGTGTACTGCGTTAAGCTAACTGAGACTTGTTATAGTACTTGCATATCATTGCTCTTTTGTTGATTTTGATTGTTTCCATTGTCCTCATTTGTAAGTCGCTTTGGGTAAAAGCATCTGCTAAATGACTAAATGTAAATGTAATGTTAATGTAATGCACATTCATTACTGTTTTGTTAAGGCACCACTGCCAAAGTATTTAACTACGTATCATTTGCCTTTGTATTTAAACCAAACCTCAGCTGTTTAATCAGAGGCAGAATAAAATACAAGTATGGCCCTTGATGTTTCTAAATCTCTAACCATGCTAGGGACTGATGCGTTTACATTTTGGAAATTAAATGACTTTCTCCTATTCCAAAAGATAGGAGGAAAGATTCACTCAGTGCTTCTCACCTCATCACAGATGTGCAGGGCGAATATAAGAGATATGAAGCCAGTGGAAGGATATCCTCCATTACTCTGCAGCCAGCTCTCATAGATATATTTCATAAATGCAGGATGGAGGATCATCACCTCAAAAGAGCAAACAGAACAGTCATGTGGGATAAATCTGCAAATGTTTCTCAATAATAGTAAGTTTGCCATTTCTGCATTTACAGTTTTCTCAATTGATTTGACACATTTCTCCAAACTTAGGTCACTGCTCTCAAAACAGTTAACACAATGATCTGAACACTTTGTAATTGTCCTAAACAGATTGTCAGTTTTCATTCATTCTATATAAATTACAAATGGCATCCATAATTTTCTCAAAACACTGTACACAGGATTCTCAAATGTTTTCTCAATAGTTCATACAGCCAACCAAAACTTCAGAAGAAAAAAAAATTGCAACTTTATTTCTTGGTTTTACACAATTAGCCCAAATTGATAACTGCTGAGTTAGTAACACAAACAACACAGGAAATGCAGATTTCCTAATTGTTTACACATTTATCTCAATTACAACAATTATAAAAACAGAAAAGAAAAAAGGCAAAAAAAAAAAAAAAAAAAAAAGGAAAAAAAAAAAAAAAAAAAAAGGTTCGGTACCTCGGTTTTGATGTCACGTTTCAGTACAGCAGGGGAGGGGGGGGAAACTAAACTTATATATATTTTTTTTTAATTAAACAGTGGCGTACTGAACAAATTTCTCTTTCTTTAAATAAATTCAGTTATAATTAAAATAGTCTTAGGGATAAAAATCTACCTCGGCTTATGCTCAAATGAGCCCTTTTACATTAGTCCTACTATAAGGTTACAGTTAACAACAGAGCCCAGACTTAAATTTAATTACTTTTTTTTTTTTATAACAAGCAACACTCAACTTAAAAAAAAATAAAATGTATGCAAACATGTAAATTACACATAATGCAGTTTTTATTAATTATAAAAGTTATATTTGTTGTTGAAATATATTAATTTACCCAGTGCCTCTCACAAGTCGTTTCTTAACAGATGTATTTAAACATTAAATAATTAAGACATCACTAACAGGTAGAGTAAAATATGAGTATATAGTCTAATATTTCGTGAAATGCTCTTCTCTAGACTTCATTAATCGCGCACTAACGAGCTGTAGACACTGATGACTGCCTGAGGGAAATGAAATGTTATGTGACGTTTTGTTTACAAGCTGTTTTATTGCCGTCTTTCCGCGGTTGAAACACTGATTGAGCGATTACACGAGGCATGAGATGTTCATTCATGTTTAAAACTAGCAGTAAAGAGGAAGAGATGATGCAGTGGTTAAAACAATGCTGTATTTGTTCGGTACACATGCGTACAGAATATGCGCACACCCCTAAAAAAAAGGATACATATATATATATAAGAACAAGGGCAAGAATGAGAAGGGGAACAGGAAGAGGTGTAAGAGTGAGAGGTGGTGGAGTGGGTAAAGGAAGGCAGGGGTGTACTGAGAGAGAGAAGAACAGTGGAAGAGGTAGGAGGTGAGGGGAGAGAAGGAGAGGGTGTAAGAAGAGAAGAAGAAAGAATAATTGGTAGAGGAGTAGAGGGAGAAGAGATAGGTAGATTGGACGGCAATGGTATGTTGGGAAGAGAAGAAATTGTAAGAAGACATGAACAAAGAGGAAGAGGTCTGCAGGGTGGAAGGGGAGGGAGGAGAGGTAGAGGGTACAGACGGGTTTCAAATGAAATCAGAGCCACCCTGATTGACCATGTTATAAATTATGGTATCTCCTTGGGAAAAGCTGGCCAGAGAGTTCAGCCAAACATAAACCGATCCACAGTAGCTTCAATTATCAGAGGGAAAAGCAGTAAGAAACTATACCATTCTGGTTCTATGAGTACAGTCTAGAGCCTTGTCTATCCTCCTGAGACCCAGCTATGGAGTTTTTGCCTCTGTAGTGGACATTATATTTGAGTGAATTTCTCTGAGACCTCACATGTCACAGTTTTAAGTCTGGATGTCCTGTACAGAGCACATTCAGGGCTTTCCAGAGATACCAAATGACTGGATGTTTCACCATGACCACTCCCTCTCCTTGGTTTTTAAAAATGGCTGACATTAATTTAGTGATACAATTGTACATCCTTATGGAAATATGATAATAGTTTGTAATTATAATTTAAATCTGATTCATTTTCAAATTGTTTGTCATAAATCACCATCTCAGGAAAATGTTATGGGGTTTCAAATCAAAATATGACCTTCTGTTATGAAACAGGACATAATTTCATTTTATGTCCTGTTTCATGTCCACTATAGAGGACACCAGGACTAAAATAAAATACTAAATTCACAAAGCTTTTTATTTCTGGTTCTCAGGAGGCTATTTATAGTTCTAATCCTCTAGTGTAAATGTTTCTAATTGCTCACATTTTTTTCAGAATTGAACATTTAGGTGGACAAACAAGACTATTTTCAAATGAACAAGAACATGTCATTGTTGACATTGTGGTCCAGAACAACACCATCCGCCTCAAAGAAATTCAGCAAAGAATAATACAGGACAATCAATTATTTCATAATATTCACCAATGCAGTCTTGCCACAAATGATCGTGATCTTCACTTCGATAGAGTGAAGGAGTTGCGATTCCAGTTTGTTCAGGTATGTGAAAGCCACACAGTCACTGCACTTTTACTGTAAAAAACAAAGATATGTATTTCCTGGACATTATACTGTATGTCCATATACTATTACACTCTGGAAAAATTCATTCATCTCTGATAGTGCTGTGTGAAAGGGGGAGAATTCAATGTTCGGCAACATCTGTTTTCTTTTTTGGAGTTGAATAACAGTGGAACTCATTATGAGTACCTGTATTTTGATGAAGCTGGCTTTAATCTCAACAACAACAACAAAAAAGGAAACGAGGAAGGAATGTGATTGGCCATTGTGCCATAGTTAATGCCCCTGGACAACGAGGAGGCAACATCACCATGTGTGCCGCAATTTCAACCACAATGAGCATGTGGCATACAATGCAGCATTGGGCCAATTCAATACAGCAGGTCGATCAGGAGCAAATGGAGTGAAGTTTTGTAGTTATCTGGGACAGTGTCCAATTTCATCATTCAGCATTGGTGCAAGAGTGGTTTGAACATCACCCACATTTCAGAATGGTGTTCCTTCCTCCATATTCTCCTTTCCTGAATCCAATTGAGGAGTACTTCACCTCTTGGAGATGGAAAGTGCATGATCACAACCCTTACAACCAAGTGAACCTTCTTCAAGCAATGGAAGAGGCCTGTGGAGATGTTGAGGCAGAAGCTTGTCAAGGATGGATTCAACATTCACGCCATTTTTTCCCACGATGCATGGCTCGTGAGAATATATGTTGTGATGTAGATGAAGTTCTCTGGCCAGATGTAACAGAGACATGGTCAATAAAGTTATTTGTTTTAGTGATTGCAGTGCATTTATTTATTTAAGAAACGCATTGAAGAACACAAGGTGGAGGATCCACTTGCAGTAGGATTTATTAAGAGTATAAATGAAGAACTAACACAGGGACAAGAACCAGAAACACGGGACAGAAGCATACACCAGAAAACAAAGACTGAAATAACTGGACCAGCCAGATGTTTCAGGTTGATGGGAAGTTCATGTACGACCTCTGCGATTGCATCAAGGCAGATAGAGAGTACAGAGACGGCATCTTGGGGCGTGACAATGCAGGCTGAGAATTCAGATATGGCCTCCTTGTCTGCAACAGAACAGACAAGGGATTCAGGGATAGCCTCCTTGACTGCAAAAGGATGGGCTAAGACAGTGATCCTCAAATCTGGCTCGCGAGATCCACTTTCCTGCAGAGTTTAGTTCCAACCCTAATCAAACAAACCTAGCTGTGATTTTCTAATGATCTTGAAGACATTGATAAGCAAACTCAGGTGTGTTTGATTAGGGTTAGAGCTAAACTCTGCAGGAAAGTGGATCTCGGGAGCCAGATTTGAGGATCACTGGGCTAAGAGATCAGAGACAACTTCCTTGGTCGTAATTGGACAGGTGAAGAGCTCAAGGATGGCCTCCTTGGCCATGACAGGACAGACAGAGAGTTCAAAAACGGCCTCCTTGGCAGACTGAGAGTTCACAGGTGACCACTATGGTCAAAACAGGACAGGCTAGATGCTCAAGGATGACTTCAGTAGTCGAAACGGGACAGGTAGGGAACTCACACGTGGCGCACGTTCATGGACTGGAGCAGGCTCATGGACTGATTCATGGACTGGAATGGGCTCTGGAGCAGACTCACTGCATCTGAAGGGAGAGCCCCCCCCCCCATCTGCCTCTGGGTGATGGGAACTCCGAGCTCAGAAAACTTTTTGAACTGTAGGGATATGCACAGCTGGGATGGCGTCGAGAGGTGGGATGATTAGAAAGTCATCGAGAGGGTGAATGAGGTGGGGAATTGCTCAATTGTTCGACAAATCCAACAAACCGCTTCTGGTAACGTGTCAAAAATCTTGGGGCTGCTTTGCATCCGAAAGTTAAACATACAGCGAAAATAGAATTTCCTGTGCCAGCGTACCCCGAATGAGTGCCGGATGGATAGGCATCGCTTCGAAAGCTGAGGTGATGTCGACTTTGGCCAGCCAAATGCCATGACCCACGATTTTTATCATATCGATCTCATAATCAATATCCTGCTATTTGAGAGAAAATTCATCAAGAGGAACCAAAGTGTTTATGCTTGAAAACGGGGAGTTACGCGGGGCAGACAGATCGATTATAAGGCGTTTTTTTACCTGAGAATTTTCCTAGTAGCCACTCCAATGTGCCTTTGCGGAAAAAAATTAGAGGTTGGGGGCAGCGAAAAGGCTGAAAATGACCAGGATCTGTGCTCGGATGTTGTGAGCCGCTGGTGGTGGCTCCGAGGCGACAGTATTTGATGGGATGGGCAGAGGTGTTGCTCTTAACCACACAAAAAGAAGAAAGTATTGAAACAGCCAGCCAAGCAGCACGTCAGCTGGTAAAGACTTGGAGAGAGGTGCCTAGCAGTACACTCATCACATGTGAATTAAGTTGCTAGCTGCACTTGTTCAATAATTGTTTATTTATGATACACCTTAGTTGTTAGATTGTACCTATAATTGTTAATCATTTAGGTACACAGTTAATCTTATCTCGAAAATTGAACTTAACCATCTTATCTATCCATCTATTAAAGTGCAATGTGTAATTTAAAATACAGTAAAATGTTGGTGAAGATTAACACAAAAAATGCAAGTAATTTCAGTGTGCATTCTATATAGTTTTTCGTCATTGTTACACAATGGCATCAATTCCAATGATGTTACTATGTCATTTAACAACTTTTAGCAACAAACAACCTGCGTTTCAGTGACTCTAACTAAAAATTAGCTAGGAACACTGGTGGCCTGCATCGCTAGCAGAGGCAGCCTCGCGCTAACGTCTGTTACAGGAGCTGGAGGGCCGGCTGCATACGGCACACGGCCGCGAAGAGTCACGGTGAAAGGCTGAGCCGAAGCAGAAAGCTGCGGTGAGATCTGGGGCGTGGCCCAGGCTCGTTGAAGGCCTGCCGCTGCGACTCAATGCTTGAGGAGATCCGGGTCTTGTGCAGGATGATGGTGATGTCGAGCGATGTGAGTTTGGGGCCTTGCGAGCTTAAATACTGTCCACTTTTTCCGCTCAGAAGAATTGTTGGCACAGCCAAATGATAGGAGGCCGGGGAAGAAGTTAGAAGTCTCGCGGGTGGAGGTGAGGTTAGGCCTCGGTGTTGTGGTGAGTGTGTGGCTGATTGAGCAGAGCGGCGCCCGCGATGAAGCCTGGGGCTCAGGCGGAGAAGGAGTGATCCTGGGGCTGGCAGATTGCGGTGGAGGATCCGGAAAAAAAATCACCAGTACAAGTCTCGTTGTTGGACGGGAAAGTTGAGTCTGTGATATAATGGTAAACGGAGCGAAACGAATGCTGGAAAACTGTCGTGGGACAGAGGCAATTTGCCTGTATATATACGTATTGTGCTAGTTAAGATGATTAACTAAACGAGCTCCACCTGTGCTGAATTGGTTGATTATCTGATCATGCTCCTCCCGAACCTTGGTAATAAAACATCATAAAGTGCAAAGTCTATGTATTGTTGTGATGTCAGTTGATTATTCCTACTAGGCAAGATTGATCTCAGAGGTTAATTTAGTCCGTAACAATAAAAGTCCTTTAAAACAGCATCCTTCCAGTCCAAACAGTTAGCATAAGCACAAAACTGGGCAGTATAATCCTCGATAGTATTAATACCTTGATGCAGGAACTAGTGATGTGACATTCGAACCGAGGCGTCGGAGCTTGTGTCGAGAATAAATTAGCGTGCCAGATGAAGCCTCAATTCGAGGCTTGTATTGTTAACTTAGAAATCACGTGACCAATGACGAACAGGACAGGAGCATACACCAGGAAACAAAGACTGACACTGAACAGGGCAAACACAGGGGTATAAATACAAGAGTTAACAAGGGGGTGGAGCCAATTAATCATTATGACAACAAACAAGGTAGAAGAGGAAACAGTAACTAAACACAGGAAGTGAAAACAGAAACACTGGGGGCAGAAAATCATGGATGGATGACGTCAATTATGCCTACCTTATTCCTGTCTGCTTTAATTGATGGTTTCACATACGTGTATGTCCTGAGAATAAATGTAAAAAAAAGAAAAAGTTTAATTCGATCCAATATAAAAAATATATAAAAAATTAATATAATGTATATATATATATATATGACATTGTTAATTGTCATTAATTAATCGATTGTATTAAATTATAGATGCATACTATGTTTGATGGTCGCCGTGATTTTGCCAAGTAAGACATGTTCCTGGATCAACATTACTGTCCAAAAATACAGACTTAACTCAATCCCCACTCCTAAACCTAAACCTTGATCCAGGAACATGTTGTACTTGGTCACATCAAGCTCACCAAAAATGATGTCATAGTGTGCAATCCTATCCACCTTTTGCTGAATGCAGAAATCTCACCCGACTCAATGAAACAATGCTTTATATGCGGTCTCTGGTGTTTCTAGTCAAATTAACGTTTTCAGAGCTTGACTCCTAAAAATCATTGAAGGTTAAGAAGAATGCTGGTAAATAAACCAAAAATCTCCATTTGACGTAAAAATTGTACATTTCATTTGGAATAATGCATTGATTTTTCTTTTTCATTCAATTACAATTAATAAAATAAGAAAGATTTAAAAAGGATGCAAAAGTATACCATAATATTATAGTAAACGAGGTCCAAATCACTATTTTCCAAGTCTTCTGATTTGAAGTCTTTTCCTCCAGTGGGCTTTGAGTTGACTCAAGAATTAAATTCCATCTGATTTCTGAGTCATTTGGACTGGTTTTGTGAACTTGGATCAATGGATTAATTTACAATTAAAACAATTTGTTCATGAATCGGACATCACTTCTTCTCTCTTCACCAGTCAACATTTTGACTGATTGTGACACAAAATTGGTTTCAGAAGATGTCATATGAACCGCTGTTATGGTTCTTTTATGGTATTTTGAAGCTTGACAGCCCCAGTTCTCATTTTCTATCATAGTATATAAAAGAGTGGCCAGAATATTCTTCACAAATCACGGCCTTCACAAAAAAAAAAAAAATAAATAAAATAAAAATAAAAAGTTGTGTGTTGAATGATACGAGTTTTAAGGGGAAAAAATTATAGAATTTAAATTTTTTTGGTTGAACTATTCCTTTAAGCTCACCAAAACAGTTTAGATTACAACAGAGGTTTTTAAACCACTCCAGTGTTCACTAAGTTATAAGCTGGTATTCCATTCCAAACATGGCCATTGTTTAGTTGTGACTAGTTGCTTCTACTGAGAACAGTTATGGAGATTATCATAAAGATCCCAGCTATAACTAGAGAGCTCTGGTGGCTGAGGTAAGAAATGCATGATGTTGATGCAAAATGAGTTGTTTTTCTTCAAAACTGTACTTTGCAGAAAAAAAAAAACTTTTTTGTCAGCCACCCCTCAAAAACTGCCAGCAACATCCAACAACAGAAGTTGTTAATGTAAAGGTGAGAAACATGAGGAACAGATCTCACAGATCAATGTGTCTGGTGGTGAAGATGCTGATGAGCCACTGCAGATCCAGAATCTTAAAGGGCAACAGAATGAGGTGAGTCGTCTCATCCATGTCCACAGCGCTCTCGGGGTAGATGACACGGTGAGTGGTCTTAGACCCCACGTCCTGCTCAAAACCTTTTGTTGGGCCCTCATTCATCCTGAGATAAAAATACACAGATATACCTGTACAAAGTTTGGGTATATGATAAGATTATTTATTACATTTACCTTTACATTTACATTACATTTAGTCATTTAGCAGACACTTTTATCCAAATCAACTTACAAATGAGGACAATGGAAGCAATCAAAATCAACAAAGGAGCAATAATATGCAAGTGCTATAACAAGTCTCAGTTAGCTTAACGCAGTACACGTAGCAAGGTTGTTTTTTTTTATTGTATAATAAATAAAAAGAAAACAGATAGAATACAAAAAGATTAGAGAAGCTAGTGTTGTTGTTTTTTTTAAAGAAAACAAGCAGTACTTATTTTAGCAGATGCAAATTTACAATTTATGCCACAGTGTTGGCCAAATTAGCATTGTCTGTTTTCTGTGACAGTTGGCTCATTTAGTACCTTATAACGAAGTCTTGTGAATCTATGAGCGCACCATAATGGGATCCGATGAGGTTGCCCGAGTTGCCCACTACAGCACAGGTTCTGCAGCGGCTGGGACTGGCGTCGGAGTAGTGATCTTTATCTGGGAAGAGGGAAAACAACACCTCCACCACTTTTTTGTAGTCGGCTACAGTTGATTCATTTTGTAGACTCTGTTAAACATTTGAAAACAATGTGACAAAATTAGGAGTTACATGTAAAAGTGATTATTGTTGTGCTGTTATACATTTCACAAAATCAAAAGAGACTGACATGTCATATGTATACAGTGATGTAACAGTACATCTTTCATTGCACCAAACAGAGCAAGCAAAGTCCCTTTCAAGGAAATGTTTCTATGCAAAGCAGAGCTTCTAAGAGCAGCTAGACTGAGATAATGTCTTCACTAATAGGCGATTGGCTCTTTTATTTAGAAGGCGGGACTTATTCTGCGCTGTCTTTGTATGTTGGGGAGGCAGTGTGCTGTTTACTGTGTGACGTCAGACACCTTCAGTTTCCTGGTGAGCCGAGAGCTCAGAGTACCTTGTGGTGTTTCCAGCATTTAGACTGAAATTGGTGACATTTTCAACAAGCAACAAACACATTTAGATTCATGAAGCCTTTTTCATCTCCACTTGAACAGGGGGACTAATAAATGAAAGTTTTTAACAGTACTGAATCGTGAAACTTCTCTTTTATGGGCTTTTTGCCCTAATATTATCTACAGGATAATCAGAGGGCAATAGGGAAGAAGTGACAGGCTATGAGCGCCAGCCAGACTTGAACCTGCATGCCAGCGAGGACACAACAACTCTTATACAATATTTGATCTATTACTATACTCACGGAATTGCATTATCATTTTGTGACATATGATACACAAGAGCATTGACTTGCCTGCCCTGTTGAAAAAAACTGGTTAGGTATGTTTTGACGCTGGGATGCTGGTTTAAGCTGGTCCTTTTGCTGGTTTATACAGGTCATGTGCTGACAAAGGACCAGTATAAACCAGCAAAGGACCAGTTTAAACCAGCAAAGGACCAGCATAAACCAGCAAAGGACCAGTTTAAACCAGCAAAGGACCATCTTAAACCAGCGTCAAAACATACATAACCAGCATATGCCAATTGTATGCAAAAAAGTGTTCCTGTAGTTCAGATGCTAGCAATACCTAGGTCATGGGTTCAAGTTTGAGGGAGCACACATATTTTAAAAATATGTACCTCAAATGCACTCTATGAATGTGTAAATATAATAATTCAAAAAGAATTAGCCTGCTGTTTAAAATAGTTTTAGATAAAACCCCCAAGTCCAATGAACAGGCTATAGGCCTACCACAGAGGACCTCAGTGCCGGATTAATAAAGAGCACAGCTACTGTTACACACTGTGATTCAGACTGAAGAGACTTGTCCTTACCTTCCACCACCAATAGGTGTGGAAATCCAGTGGGCTGCTCTTGGTGTTAAGTGTCACGTTAGCAGAGGGTTTATATCGTTGAGAAAACCACAAAAGACCTTCCGAATCCATTGCGCAGTTACAGACACATGCATCTGTGAGAAAACTCCTGGTAGACGTTTGACAGAAGAGAACTATACAGATAGTGCTGGCGACACTGACAAACACAACGACTTGTTGAAGAGTTCTTTTGTTAATCATCATTATGTGTGTTGTTTGAATGAAATGTGTTCGATGTTTTCTCTCTGAAAGTAGAGAAAGAAAGAGTAAAAAATAAATCTTAGACCGATGTGTTCTGTCTAATGATCACACATTCATTGTCAACTTTAACTATTACACATTTTCATCTTAAACTACACAGGAAAAATTCATATAGCCAAATGTGCTGTTGTATTCTATTATTAACATAGTATCAGCATAATTGTTCATATCAGTGTAATTGTTTCCATTGAAAAAAAAAAAAAAAGGCTCAGGACCTGATCAGACAGAACACGTTTTTTCAAGTTTGATAAAGTGAGGCGCACGGCACTGCCTTTTTTTTGTTCGACTTATTTCAAAGACTACAGAATACCCAAGACGTGTCACTGGTATAGTTTTGAATGGGGGAAAAAAATGCAACACTCAATATGGCCGCTCTATTGAAGGAAGCCCCGCCTTCTGTGTAAAAGAGCCAATGGTAATGGGTAAAATCATCGCGTCATTGCAGCTGCCGTTAGAAGTCCCGGTTGCTATAGAAACAGTCAGGTTCGGAGACGTGTGCTCAGGACTGCGCATGTGCACTGGCTGATCTAGCCTGAAAAATATGCTTTTTTTGACGCTATTTGAGCAAAAGAAACAATATTTATGAGACAGTTGTCTGATTTCATTGGTGATTTCAAATATGAAATTTAATCTTAAGCTTGGTGAACAGTTTACAATTTGATCCTTCCCCGTTCAAAGAGATAGGAGCTGCACTTGCATGCCTGAGAGGCGTTTCAAAGATGGCTGCCGAGTGAAATTACTGGTCTTAAAGGAACTTTGCTTTTTTTAATTTAGAAAAGAGCAGTGCGCTGCAGGGTGTTTTTATGTTGCTAGGCAACGACCAAATCAGGTGTCCTGTAATCAAGGATTATAGCACGAGTGCTCTAAAATCTTTGGTTTGCTGTTAAGTAAACTGTCATATTAGCAGAAACTTTAAAAAAATACAGCTCCGCGTGACCCGTGACAGCCAGCACAAGTTTCTCCTCCATCATTTCAGTCTCCGGATGTACCAAGCAACTGAAAACTTCCGTCACACAACGGAAGGTCCGCCTCTCACAATGGGAAAAAAAAAAAGATGTCGGGGGTTTTCCTGCTCAGAATAGATTTTTCAGCACTCAGAGCACTCCTACAAAAACACGAGGCGCAGCAGGTGGCTAAAATGCAAAAAACGCTCACTGCCAATAGAAAACAATTAAAAAAAGGCGCCTCTCACTAATAAAAAAAAAAAGAAAAACATTCTGTCTGATCGGGACCTTAGGCTCCATTATAGGCTCATCTATAAGGGTGTAGTCCAGCTTAACCAATTAAGATATATTACTTTCATTTACAATTTAAAGTTTACTCTCAATACATCTGAAGAGAAACAGATATACAAACAGACTGGTAAAACTGAAACAAAGT